GAGAGAGAGAGAGAGAGAGAGAGAGAGAGAGAGAGAGAGAGAGAGAGAGAGAGAGAGAGAGAGAGAGAGAGAGAGAGAGAAGACACTTCAGCAGTTCAATCACGCATATAACTAAGGAACCGATCCACGGCTCAGGTTTAGTTAGCCAGMGTGATGTTGATCCCCGGCGCCTTGTTTCTCGAGGCCACCTCGTGGTTCAGCTGCTGATGTCGGACAGCATAAGGCAGATGGCATGCGCAGTGGACTCAGAGCCACAGATCTAAACACTCTTCCATTCTCGGTTAAAATCCCGACGACAATCGTGTAATCAACGCCAAAGAGAYGCCCATTTCCATACATTCATTCAYTGTGGAAGATGCRAAAAATGAGCCATGCACAGGAAAAGATTGATCGCTTGCACAGTACACACGCATCCACCGTTCACAAGACAAGAAGACGGGGTCCTTGCGCAGGAGGATTACCSAGGAAATTAATGGAAGAGTTCCGGAAGAAGTTCTTTCACGCGAGGAAAGCATACAGATTCATGCTCATCCAGAAGAGGGGAAGAGAGAGAGAGAGAGGCATCAAGACACATCATCATTCAAAGATAGAGGTAAAGGGGGAAGGTGAAGAGGGGGGGGAGAGAGAGAGAGTCTAGATAGGAGACGACGCAACCCAAAAGAAGGAAGTTCAAAGAGAAAGGTCCGCAACAACAAAGGCGCATTCGCCGTTAATTCCAATATGGCCCCGAGCCAATAACTCACTCAACTCCAATCATCGATCCTCATACCCGCACCGACGATCCTGGCCGCCGCGTGCTAACTCCCACCACTGCGATCGTCACCCCACTGTTGTAGACTCGACAAGGTTCGCCCAGATCCCACAGTCCGTCGTGGCGATCCAGCGCGCAACCAGCCAGCCTATCGTCAACCCGACAGGACTTTCCGACTCGCATCAAACACTCTGCCTAGCCATTGCTTCCCGGAAGCTGGCTTGAGAGTCGAGAACGTAAGAGAGATTTGCRGACGCRCTTGCGGGTTTTATAGTTGCGAAAGGGGAGATAAAAGGGGGAGAGAGTGACGGGAAAGCTGMGGTGTAAAAGGAGAAGCAGGAGKAGAAGACTTTGAGAAGAATGCTCTACGAACCCCATGTTGATCCCTCGAAACTCAAGGTTCAACCAATCAGATTCGYCGCGCAATAGGAAGGTCCTATTGATCCATGCACCTGATTGGTGAGCGGGAGTTATCGATGGATCGACCGGGYGTCGGGCGCCAGACTCGGAGGGTGAGGGGAGAAAAAGGCGTGAGAAGTGGCGGAAGACGAGTCCAAGATTCAGATGATCAAGAAAGAAAAAGGGGCGCGCAAAGAGCAAGGCGGGAGAGGGAGAGAGAGAAAGAAAACAGTTACGGGGCGAGAGAAAGAGGAGGGAGAAGGGGAAAGGAGCGCGGGAGGGAGCGATGCGAGGGACAGAGAGGAGAAAGCTTGGCACGCGCGGTGCCGTCAACAAAAAGAGAGAAAAAGGCACCGAAACAGTTACAGCCTAATTCAAAATTAAAATCACCATATCCGCGCGCGAACGAGCGACGCGGGAAAAGAAAAATCCTATGCCTATTCGTATTCGCACAAAATTCCGAGAGTTTTCCCGACGCGACCAAGAACATTCACACACACGAAAAAGACACGTCGATGTTCCGCTTATCCTGGAATTCCCAACTGCCGAGCCCAATTCCCAGTGCGTTCGCTAAGGCGCACGTAATTCCTATGTATTTCCCGAATTGCAGAAAGGAAAAGCAGAACCCGGGAGTCGAAAAAGCTTCCGAAAGATGGGGGCCAAAAACGCGGTACCCAAAATCAAGAAAACGAAACGGGGTTTTTATGGGGTTGGTATGATACAAGCAAAAAGGGGTACGAAAGATAGCACGGGTTTGGGAAGTGGTTCGTCACATATGTGATGCGCAGGGGGTTCCAAAATTATGCGATYTCCTGATTGCATGTCTTGGCGGAACAGAGTGATGCATGAGGAACCAAGCGTATCAACAACCGATCCAGCCAAAGTCCATGTTGACGCCAACTTCAATTGCAATTGTCCGATGCTGGAATCCTCGATGGTCGTCCAGGTGATGCCATCATTGTCCGCTGGTTCTCCGTGTGCTCTGCACCCCAGCTGGTTGCCGCCCGTCGAATCAGAGCGTGAGTTGACGTCATCGTCGATGGCGTGATCGTTGTGGAGCTTACTGATTCGTATCGGTTTCCCTTGCTGATTGGATAAAGAGAGGAGAGGGAGAGAGGGGGGGTGGGGTAGTGATGTGATCGGGATCTACCTCCTAGTTGGAATGGGTCAATAAAGGCGGTACATGGAGGGGATTTCTCGGGGTCGACGGGGAGGAAGTGGGGCTAGGAAGTGATTCATTTCTTCCATCGTCACCGAAAGCTCCTCATATCGGATGATCCGGTGGAAGTGGGGGAAGTGATCGCCGCTGCGAGGGAGGGAAGCAAGGTAGTCGCGATAGAAAGAGGAGAGGGTGWGAAAAAGCACCGCTCGAAAGTACTCATAGTGGCGGCAGGCGGGGATTGTCCCCGTGGCAACGCAGTAAACCTCTACCACGTTGCATCGCTGCCATGCAGCGCTGAACAGAAGGAGATGCCAGCAGAACGTGGGGGCAGCGGATTGAAGGGAGGCGTGGGGGTGGACGGTGGCGAGTAGGCGGGTAGAGTAGAAGTTGCGGAAGAGATGGGGAAGGAAGGGATGGGAAGGAAAGGTGATGGGGGTACGGATCTGCTTGAGGGTGAGGAAATCAAGGGGTCGGCGGGACAGCGTCCGAGGACGAAGGCCTATCGCCCGCATCGGTACGTGGGCGAACTGGGGGACAGGTGGGGCTGGAGGAGGAGGGGGATCGGCTCCGTCTCCGTCGTGCGGTACTTGAGGTGGCGGCTGCAGGGTCGCCATTTTCGGGCTTCGGCGGCTCAGGATCCCTAGTCGGATCGTTACCTATGCGCAGGCTCGCTTCGTTGGCGAACTCCAGCTGGCGCTTCCCGGTGGCAATTTCTTCGCGCCTTCACGCCACTTCTGGATCTTCCGCCTCCGTTCCTGTGCNCGAATTGCAGAAAGGAAAAGCAGAACCCGGGAGTCGAAAAAGCTTCCGAAAGATGGGGGCCAAAAACGCGGTACCCAAAATCAAGAAAACGAAACGGGGTTTTTATGGGGTTGGTATGATACAAGCAAAAAGGGGTACGAAAGATAGCACGGGTTTGGGAAGTGGTTCGTCACATATGTGATGCGCAGGGGGTTCCAAAATTATGCGATYTCCTGATTGCATGTCTTGGCGGAACAGAGTGATGCATGAGGAACCAAGCGTATCAACAACCGATCCAGCCAAAGTCCATGTTGACGCCAACTTCAATTGCAATTGTCCGATGCTGGAATCCTCGATGGTCGTCCAGGTGATGCCATCATTGTCCGYTGGTTCTCCGTGTGCTCTGCACCCCAGCTGGTTGCCGCCCGTCGAATCAGAGCGTGAGTTGACGTCATCGTCGATGGCGTGATCGTTGTGGAGCTTACTGATTCGTATCGGTTTCCCTTGCTGATTGGATAAAGAGAGGAGAGGGAGAGAGGGGGGGTGGGGTAGTGATGTGATCGGGATCTACCTCCTAGTTGGAATGGGTCAATARAGGCGGTACATGGAGGGGATTTCTCGGGGTCGACGGGGAGGAAGTGGGGCTAGGAAGTGATTCATTTCTTCCATCGTCACCGAAAGCTCCTCATATCGGATGATCCGGTGGAAGTGGGGGAAGTGATCRCCRCTGCGAGGGAGGGAAGCAAGGTAGTCGCGATAGAAAGAGGAGAGGGTGWGAAAAAGCACCGCTCGAAAGTACTCATAGTGGCGGCAGGCGGGGATTGTCCCCGTGGCAACGCAGTAAACCTCTACCACGTTGCATCGCTGCCATGCAGCGCTGAACAGAAGGAGATGCCAGCAGAACGTGGGGGCAGCGGATTGAAGGGAGGCGTGGGGGTGGACGGTGGCGAGTAGGCGGGTAGAGTAGAAGTTGCGGAAGAGATGGGGAAGGAAGGGATGGGAAGGAAAGGTGATGGGGGTACGGATCTGCTTGAGGGTGAGGAAATCAAGGGGTCGGCGGGACAGCGTCCGAGGACGAAGGCCTATCGCCCGCATCGGTACGTGGGCGAACTGGGGGACAGGTGGGGCTGGAGGAGGAGGGGGATCGGCTCCGTCTCCGTCGTGCGGTACTTGAGGTGGCGGCTGCAGGGTCGCCATTTTCGGGCTTCGGCGGCTCAGGATCCCTRGTCGGATCGTTACCKATGCGCARGCTCGCTTCGTTGGCGAACTCCAGCTGGCGCTTCCCGGTGGCAATTTCTTCGCGCCTTCACGCCACTTCTGGATCTTCCGCCTCCGTTCCTGTGCGCGTCGCTTCCTCCGGCAAGGCTTCCCACTCAGAACCAGTTTCTTCTTCTTCCTCTTCTCCTTCGCTCAGCTCGCCCTCGCTATGTTCACTATAGCTTCCCTCCTCCGATGTTTCCTCGTCTTCGTCCTCTTCGTCATCGTCGTCGATCACCACTTCCTCTGCCCTCGAGTAGAAGGCGCGAGGGATGATATCGTATGGCTTCAGATACTCCTGCCGCGATGGTAGCGTATCCTCGTCCCTAGGTTCCTCCAAGCACGCAGTCCACTGAWGGTACGGATCCAATGATCGCTCGAAAATGTACGGAGCAGGACTGTCGTCACTCTGTGAATGGATGTCGGGCGAGAGATCGTCCGCCAATTGCACGATCGGTGCGATGAGCTCCTGCGCAATCAGCTGGCGGCGCCCCGGCTGTACCGATCCAAAGAGAAAGCYAAGAAGATCGCCCTCCGCGTTAGTCCTCCAAGATTGGATGATTAGCAGTTCCGGATTTTCGATCCATGCAGGATGCCCGCTGGTCTGTGTCCACGTCACTTGTACTSTGGCCAAGCAGAARGACAACTCCTCAAAAGTTTCGCGCCGCAGCCGCCAATGTCCAGGATTGATAAGAGGGACCGAAAGAGGCTCGAACGAGAAGGAAAGAGAAGGATGAAGATCGGATTGCCAGAAGGTGGGGAAAAGAGAGGGGAGACCAAAGATGGAGAGAGGGGCGAGGAGATCGGCGTGGTTCATTGGGRATGTGGGAAGCGGACGAGGGTTGGGATCGCAACTGGCCGCTCACGCGGTGATCGACGAATATTGTCAAGATCCGGTGTAAAGATCGGGATGAGGTTATACCCCTGTCGGGCGAGGACGTGCTGCCACACGTTGGAGACTTGCTCCGTCCACTCACGCAGCGAGGTCAAGATCGCGGTATGCCACGGCGGATTGAACGAGCTGATGTCGCCGCTGAACGCCGCAACCGTGGTGACGTGGCTCGTTCTGGGACCCGCTCGCCGATGAACTGCGGTTACCTCCGCGAATACTACTGCGTGAGGACTTCCTTCGATTCAAAACGCGGCGGCGGCACAAATACCTTCGTCGCARAAGAATCACATCAAACGCCGAAGATCCGCATTGAGCCGAGGGTGACAAACTTGCCGAATCTCTAAGATATGGCCACTTGGYTGTAACAGYTGTGCGTCAAGAACCCGCTCCGTGATAAAACTCATGGCGAGGTGGGAGAGGAGGACGAAGGACAAGAGGAAGGAAGAGGAGAGAGAGTTAGATCGTTTTCGTTCTCCTCGCTTTCCGAGGAAGAAGAGGGAGGAAGATCAGAAGCAAGAAGAAGACGGGGGTAGGAGATATTTCGGACGATGGGGACAGAGYTAATGGCTGGCACTAGCCTCAGGCGCGATGYGCACCGTGTTGGCACCGTTGGGTCCGAGCTCGACAACACGAAAACAACCAGAAAACTTGGGAGCAAGTTTCTGGTCGCGTGCACATTTACGTACCGGCACTGGGTCCCCTAATTTATATTGATGCTGGGGCCCAACATTTCCATTCCGAGCCTCGTAGCTACGGACCTGTCTACCGTCGGCCAGTTCGGTCATCCTTTGCCTTTTTCGGGCTAGCTTCGRGACGGCCCGTTCCATTAATTCGGTGTACCTTTTGGCCTTGGCCTTGAGAGCTGCACGCGTGTCTCTACCCCCTGCTTCGGCAATTTTCGAGTTACCCCGGTAGTCGACACAGGGGAGGCTATTAGTTCGAAGCTGAAAAGGGATAAACCCCGTAGACTCGTGAGGG